GAGGAGAGTAACTGATGACGAGAGTAACTGATGACGAGAGTAACTGATGATGAGAGTAACTGATGATGAGAGTAACTGATGATGACAGTAACTGATGATGAGAGTAACTGATGATGAGAGTAACTGATGATGAGAGTAACTGATGACGAGAGTAACTGATGATGACAGTAACTGATGACGAGAGTAACTGATGATGAGAGTAACTGATGACGAGAGTAACTGATGATGAGAGTAACTGATGATGAGAGTAACTGATGACGAGAGTAACTGATGATGACAGTAACTGATGACGAGAGTAACTGATGATGAGAGTAACTGATGATGAGAGTAACTGATGACGAGAGTAACTGATGAGGAGAGTAACTGATGACGAGAGTAACTGATGATGAGAGTAACTGATGATGAGAGTAACTGATGATGACAGTAACTGATGACGAGAGTAACTGATGATGAGAGTAACTGATGATGAGAGTAACTGATGATGAGAGTAACTGATGACGAGAGTAACTGATGATGAGAGTAACTGATGACGAGAGTAACTGATGACGAGAGTAACTGATGATGAGAGTAACTGATGATGAGAGTAACTGATGACGAGAGTAACTGATGACGAGAGTAACTGATGATGAGAGTAACTGATGATGAGAGTAACTGATGATGACAGTAACTGATGAGGAGAGTAACTGATGACGAGAGTAACTGATGATGAGAGTAACTGATGATGAGAGTAACTGATGATGACAGTAACTGATGACGAGAGTAACTGATGACGAGAGTAACTGATGACGAGAGTAACTGATGACGAGAGTAACTGATGATGAGAGTAACTGATGACGAGAGTAACTGATGACGAGAGTAACTGATGATGAGAGTAACTGATGATGAGAGTAACTGATGATGACAGTAACTGATGACGAGAGTAACTGATGACGAGAGTAACTGATGAGGAGAGTAACTGATGACGAGAGTAACTGATGACGAGAGTAACTGATGATGAGAGTAACTGATGATGACAGTAACTGATGACGAGAGTAACTGATGACGAGAGTAACTGATGAGGAGAGTAACTGATGATGAGAGTAACTGATGATGACAGTAACTGATGACGAGAGTAACTGATGACGAGAGTAACTGATGAGGAGAGTAACTGATGACGAGAGTAACTGATGAGGAGAGTAACTGATGAGGAGAGTAACTGATGATGACAGTAACTGATGACGAGAGTAACTGATGACGAGAGTAACTGATGAGGAGAGTAACTGATGACGAGAGTAACTGATGACGAGAGTAACTGATGACGAGAGTAACTGATGACGAGAGTAACTGATGATGAGAGTAACTGATGATGAGAGTAACTGATGATGAGAGTAACTGATGACGAGAGTAACTGATGACGAGAGTAACTGATGATGAGAGTAACTGATGATGAGAGTAACTGATGATGACAGTAACTGATGACGAGAGTAACTGATGACGAGAGTAACTGATGAGGAGAGTAACTGATGACGAGAGTAACTGATGACGAGAGTAACTGATGACGAGAGTAACTGATGACGAGAGTAACTGATGAGGAGAGTAACTGATGACGAGAGTAACTGATGACGAGAGTAACTGATGAGGAGAGTAACTGATGAGGAGAGTAACTGATGAGGAGAGTAACTGATGACGAGAGTAACTGATGACGAGAGTAACTGATGACGAGAGTAACTGATGACGAGAGTAACTGATGACGAGAGTAACTGATGACGAGAGTAACTGATGACGAGAGTAACTGATGACGAGAGTAACTGATGACGAGAGTAACTGATGACGAGAGTAACTGATGACGAGAGTAACTGATGATGAGAGTAACTGATGATGAGAGTAACTGATGATGACAGTAACTGATGACGAGAGTAACTGATGACGAGAGTAACTGATGATGACAGTAACTGATGAGGAGAGTAACTGATGACGAGAGTAACTGATGATGAGAGTAACTGATGATGACAGTAACTGATGACGAGAGTAACTGATGAGGAGAGTAACTGATGACGAGAGTAACTGATGACGAGAGTAACTGATGATGACAGTAACTGATGATGACAGTAACTGATGAGGAGAGTAACTGATGACGAGAGTAACTGATGACGAGAGTAACTGATGATGACAGTAACTGATGATGAGAGTAACTGATGATGAGAGTAACTGATGATGAGAGTAACTGATGATGACAGTAACTGATGATGAGAGTAACTGATGATGAGAGTAACTGATGATGAGAGTAACTGATGAGGAGAGTAACTGATGATGAGAGTAACTGATGACGAGAGTAACTGATGATGAGAGTAACTGATGTTGAGAGTAACTGATGACGAGAGTAACTGATGATGAGAGTAACTGATGATGAGAGTAACTGATGACGAGAGTAACTGATGAGGAGAGTAACTGATGACGAGAGTAACTGATGATGAGAGTAACTGATGATGAGAGTAACTGATGATGAGAGTAACTGATGATGAGAGTAACTGATGATGAGAGTAACTGATGACGAGAGTAACTGATGATGAGAGTAACTGATGATGAGAGTAACTGATGACGAGAGTAACTGATGAGGAGAGTAACTGATGACGAGAGTAACTGATGATGAGAGTAACTGATGAGGAGAGTAACTGATGACGAGAGTAACTGATGATGAGAGTAACTGATGATGAGAGTAACTGATGACGAGAGTAACTGATGATGAGAGTAACTGATGTTGAGAGTAACTGATGACGAGAGTAACTGATGATGAGAGTAACTGATGATGAGAGTAACTGATGACGAGAGTAACTGATGAGGAGAGTAACTGATGACGAGAGTAACTGATGACGAGAGTAACTGATGATGAGAGTAACTGATGATGAGAGTAACTGATGATGAGAGTAACTGATGATGAGAGTAACTGATGACGAGAGTAACTGATGACGAGAGTAACTGATGACGAGAGTAACTGATGATGAGAGTAACTGATGACGAGAGTAACTGATGACGAGAGTAACTGATGAGGAGAGTAACTGATGAGGAGAGTAACTGATGACGAGAGTAACTGATGAGGAGAGTAACTGATGACGAGAGTAACTGATGATGAGAGTAACTGATGATGAGAGTAACTGATGATGAGAGTAACTGATGATGAGAGTAACTGATGACGAGAGTAACTGATGACGAGAGTAACTGATGACGAGAGTAACTGATGACGAGAGTAACTGATGACGAGAGTAACTGATGACGAGAGTAACTGATGACGAGAGTAACTGATGAGGAGAGTAACTGATGAGGAGAGTAACTGATGACGAGAGTAACTGATGACGAGAGTAACTGATGATGAGAGTAACTGATGATGAGAGTAACTGATGAGGAGAGTAACTGATGACGAGAGTAACTGATGAGGAGAGTAACTGATGACGAGAGTAACTGATGACGAGAGTAACTGATGACGAGAGTAACTGATGACGAGAGTAACTGATGACGAGAGTAACTGATGACGAGAGTAACTGATGAGGAGAGTAACTGATGACGAGAGTAACTGATGATGACAGTAACTGATGATGACAGTAACTGATGAGGAGAGTAACTGATGACGAGAGTAACTGATGACGAGAGTAACTGATGACGAGAGTAACTGATGATGAGAGTAACTGATGATGAGAGTAACTGATGATGAGAGTAACTGATGACGAGAGTAACTGATGACGAGAGTAACTGATGACGAGAGTAACTGATGACGAGAGTAACTGATGACGAGAGTAACTGATGACGAGAGTAACTGATGAGGAGAGTAACTGATGAGGAGAGTAACTGATGACGAGAGTAACTGATGACGAGAGTAACTGATGACGAGAGTAACTGATGACGAGAGTAACTGATGACGAGAGTAACTGATGAGAGTAACTGATGAGGAGAGTAACTGATGACGAGAGTAACTGATGAGGAGAGTAACTGATGACGAGAGTAACTGATGACGAGAGTAACTGATGAGGAGAGTAACTGATGACGAGAGTAACTGGTGACGAGAGTAACTGATGACGAGAGTAACTGATGAGGAGAGTAACTGATGACGAGAGTAACTGATGACGAGAGTAACTGATGACGAGAGTAACTGATGAGGAGAGTAACTGATGAGGAGAGTAACTGATGACGAGAGTAACTGATGATGACAGTAACTGATGACGAGAGTAACTGATGATGAGAGTAACTGATGACGAGAGTAACTGATGACGAGAGTAACTGATGACGAGAGTAACTGATGACGAGAGTAACTGATGACGAGAGTAACTGATGACGAGAGTAACTGATGAGGAGAGTAACTGATGACGAGAGTAACTGGTGACGAGAGTAACTGATGACGAGAGTAACTGATGAGGAGAGTAACTGATGACGAGAGTAACTGATGACGAGAGTAACTGATGACGAGAGTAACTGATGAGGAGAGTAACTGATGACGAGAGTAACTGATGACGAGAGTAACTGATGACGAGAGTAACTGATGACGAGAGTAACTGATGAGGAGAGTAACTGATGACGAGAGTAACTGGTGACGAGAGTAACTGATGACGAGAGTAACTGATGAGGAGAGTAACTGATGACGAGAGTAACTGATGACGAGAGTAACTGATGACGAGAGTAACTGATGAGGAGAGTAACTGATGAGGAGAGTAACTGATGACGAGAGTAACTGATGAGGAGAGTAACTGATGAGGAGAGTAACTGATGACGAGAGTAACTGATGAGGAGAGTAACTGGTGACGAGAGTAACTGATGACGAGAGTAACTGATGAGGAGAGTAACTGATGACGAGAGTAACTGGTGACGAGAGTAACTGATGACGAGAGTAACTGATGACGAGAGTAACTGGTGAGGAGAGTAACTGATGAGGAGAGTAACTGATGACGAGAGTAACTGATGACGAGAGTAACTGGTGAGGAGAGTAACTGATGACGAGTGTCGTTGAGCCGCTGATGTGAGTGTGTTTGCTGCAGGTACACGTGGGTAACTGGGCGAGAGCCGCTCACATACTACGACATGAATCTATCAGCGCAGGATCATCAGACGTTCTTCACCTGTGATTCTGATCACCTGCGGCCTGCAGACGCCAGTAAGAGCACAGCATTACTGATTCAGCACAGCATCTGGGAGACCTTTGCATAAGTGTGTGTGTGCGTGCGTGTGTGTGTGTGTGTGTGTTGACAGTCATGCAGAAGGCCTGGAGAGAGAGGAATCCTCAGGCTCGGATCACGGCGGCTCATGAAGCTCTGGATCTGGAGGAGTGAGTGATGATCTGCACTGCAAACACTCATGCACTGAACAACTGATAGTTCAGATAGATGGATCTAGCCGTGTTACTCCTTCAGATTTCCTCTCTAGCTTGTGAAATATGTGTAATATATTCCCAGCATGTTTAATCTGTGCTCCTAACCAGACAAATCGGTCACAAACCACAGCCAATCAGAAGAGCGTGTGGGCGGAGCCTCTCTGCAAGCGCACCGCACTCGCAACCAAACGGATAAATATATAATCAAATTCATAAATATTATACCATTTTAACATTATTGCTCTTCGGTAATCTTTGACTGGAAAATGTTACATTTGGTTTAAAAACAAAAATCTACATCGGAATGGTACGAAACTTGATAAAGGTTTTGGCACTTGCTGTGTGAACACAAACAAATGTATGGACATGATTGAAACAGGTTAAATGGTCCTGAAAACAATAGTCACACTTGTGCTCCTCGTGGTCAGAAATAAGTGTATTGGAAATGAATGGAGAGTTTCCTCTAGTGGAAGCGTGTGGAACTGCAGCCGAACACACTCTCACTGAACGCTCCTTTACTGACAGATCAGACTCACATTTGGAACACAACTTGTTTAGATTTATGGCTTTGGTTTTCCCATAGTTTTAGAGTTAAACATGTTTTTGAAAATATATATTTCATATAAAAATTGCAAATTGTATTTTTGCACATTTTTCATAACAATAAACGTAAAATTCTGTAACTTTTTTTAAGTTAACTTTTTTCACTTCAGCAATAATCTGCCGAGTGTCGTCTTTGAAAAGAGATCAAACTTCAGTCTGTCGCTCTAAAGCGTTCAAGATTTACCACAGTTTAAGCTGGAAATTTCAGGTCAATGTTCAAAACATTAATGAATGGATTATAAATACAGCGTAAATGTAATTTAGTACCATAAAATCCCCTATAAATACTAAATACTAAATAAAAAACATTATCGAACTAAAATTTAGTACATTAATTTCATTGAAATGAAAACATCGATGCGACGCGCGCAGAGCACCAGAGGGTTAAAGTACATACTGAGGGACTGAACCAATCTCTGTCAGAGAATACACTTGTTTGTTCACAGCTTGAATGTTTACTGATCTGAGGTAAATTATTCATCGTCGGCTATAAAGTTCACTAGACACTTTTAACCTTAAATAAAGCACATAATCAGTTCCTGACGTCACACTTGTATGTTGCTGTTCTAGCCTTGATCAACGAAGCAGAAATAGAAACCGTTTCTAAAATGGAATCCCATCACGGATGAAAAGTCTGATTAGCACGGGAAAGTGGCCTTGTATCGCACATTTTGTCTGGTTAGGACAGTTTTATACTAACAGTCTCGCTTATAACAACACTAGAATATTATCTGTTGTCCCTCATAAAGGAAGTCAATTACTGTTATTGTTGCTGTTTAGTTACAGTGGCAGACAGAATGATTGGCAGATTATGATGTGAATTCTTGATCAACAAACCCTGGATCAGCTCTAAACTCTTGCGTCGTAATGGAGGGAGAGTGTGTGTTAGCGTGTGTGTTCTGAGCACTGCGTGTGTGTGTGGCAGGTGTGCGACGGCGTATGTTCTCCTGGCGGAGGAGGAGGCCACGACGATCGTGGAGGCGGAGAAGCTCTTCAAGCAGGCGCTGAAGGTGGGAGAGACCTGTTACCGGCGCAGCCAGCAGCTTCAGCACCACGGGGCCCAGTACGAGGCCCAGCACAGTGAGTGACCCCTGACCTCACACACTCCTGACCTCACACACACCTGACCTCACCACACACACTCCTGACCTCATACACACCTGACCTCACACACACCTGACCTCACACACTCCTGACCTCACACACTCCTGACCTCACACACTCCTGACCTCACACACTCCTGACCTCACTCACACACTCCTGACCTCACACACACACTCCTGACCTCATACACACCTGACCTCACACACTCCTGACCTCACACACACCTGACCTCACACACACACACCTGACCTCACACACTCCTGACCTCACACACACACCCCTGACCTCACACACACACACCTGACCTCGCCTCACACACACCTGACCTCGCCTCACACACTCCTGACCTCACACACACACACCTGACCTCGCCTCACACACACCTGACCTCGCCACACACACACCTGACCTCGCCTCACACACACCTGACCTGACCTCACACACACACACCTGACCTCGCCTCACACACACCTGACCTCACACACTCCTGACCTCACACACACCTGACCTCACCACACACACACCTGACCTCGCCTCACACACACCTGACCTCACCTCACACACACCTGACCTCACCACACACACACCTGACCTCGCCTCACACACACCTGACCTCGCCTCACACACCCCTGACCTCACACACACACACCTGACCTCACACACACCTGACCTCACCACACACACTCCTGACCTCACCACACACACTCCTGACCTCATACACACCTGACCTCACACACACACACCTGACCTCACCACACCTGACCTCACCACACACACACCTGACCTCGCCTCACACACACCTGACCTCGCCTCACACACACCTGACCTCACACACACACACCTGACCTCACACACACCTGACCTCACCACACACACACCTGACCTCGCCTCACACACACCTGACCTCGCCTCACACACACCTGACCTCACCACACACACCCCTGACCTCACACACACACACCTGACCTCACACACACCTGACCTCACCACACACACTCCTGACCTCATACACACCTGACCTCACACACACCTGACCTCACACACTCCTGACCTCACACACTCCTGACCTCACACACTCCTGACCTCACACACTCCTGACCTCACACACTCCTGACCTCACACACTCCTGACCTCACACACTCCTGACCTCACACACTCCTGACCTCACACACACCTGACCTCACACACTCCTGACCTCACACACTCCTGACCTCACACACACCTGACCTCACCACACACACTCCTGACCTCACACACACCTGACCTCACCACACACACTCCTGACCTCACACACACCTGACCTCACACACACCTGACCTCACACACACCTGACCTCACACACTCCTGACCTCACACACTCCTGACCTCACACACTCCTGACCTCACACACACCTGACCTCACCACACACACACCTGACCTCACCTCACACACACCTGACCTCACCACACACACACCTGACCTCACCTCACACACTCCTGACCTCACACACACCTGACCTCACTGAGGAGGCACTACAGGAGTTTTGGTGGCGGAGAGGCTCTGTCACACACACACACACACCTGACCTCACCTCACACACACCTGACCTCACCACACACACACCTGACCTCGCCTCACACACACCTGACCTCGCCTCACACACTCCTGACCTCACACACCCCTGACCTCACACACACACACCTGACCTCACACACACCTGACCTCACCACACACACTCCTGACCTCATACACACACACACCTGACCTGACCTCACACACACCTGACCTCACCTCACACACACCTGACCTCACCACACACACACCTGACCTCACCACACACACACCTGACCTCACCACACACACACCTGACCTGACCTCACACACTCCTTACCTCACACACACCTGACCTCACACACTCCCTTAGCCTCGTCTCAACAGACTAACCCCCAGGCAACTGACGGGGCCAGGGCGTGTCCACACAGTGTCTCCGGGCCCCACTGCTGCTCCGAGAGCCCCTGTAGTTTAGCCTGGGACCGTTTGATACCCAGTGTCCATGTGTGGCCCTGAGGAGGCACTACAGGAGTCTTGGTGGCGGAGAGGCTCTGTCACACACACACACACCTGACCTCACCACACACACACCTGACCTCACCACACACACACCTGACCTCACCTCACACACACCTGACCTCACCACACACACACCTGACCTCACCACACACACACCTGACCTCACCACACACACACCTGACCTCACCACACACACACCTGACCTCGCCTCACACACACCTGACCTCGCCTCACACACACCTGACCTCGCCTCACACACACCTGACCTCGCCACACACACACCTGACCTCACCACACACACACCTGACCTCACCACACACACACCTGACCTCGCCTCACACACACCTGACCTCGCCTCACACACACCTGACCTCGCCACACACACACCTGACCTCACCACACACACACCTGACCTCGCCTCACACACACCTGACCTCGCCTCACACACACCTGACCTCGCCACACACACACCTGACCTCACCACACACACACCTGACCTCACCACACACACACCTGATCTCACCACACACACACCTGACCTCACCTCACACACACCTGACCTCACCTCACACACACCTGACCTCACCTCACACACACCTGACCTCACCACACACACACCTGACCTCACCACACACACACCTGACCTCGCCTCACACACACCTGACCTCACCACACACACACCTGACCTCACCTCACCACACACACACCTGACCTCGCCTCACACACACCTGACCTCACCACACACACACCTGACCTGACCTCACATCACACACCTGACCTCGCCTCACACACACCTGACCTCACCACACACACACCTGACCTCGCCTCACACACACCTGACCTCACCACACACACACCTGACCTGACCTCACATCACACACCTGACCTCACATCACACACACCTGACCTCACACACACACCTGACCTCACCACACACACACCTGACCTCACCACACACACACCTGACCTCACACACACACACCTGACCTCACCTCACACACACACCTGACCTCACACACACACACCTGACCTCACACACACACACCTGACCTGACCTCACACACACACCTGACCTCACCTCACACACACACCTGACCTCACACACACACACACACACCTGACCTGACCTCACACACACACACCTGACCTCACCTCACACACACACACCTGACCTGACCTCACACACACACCTGACCTGACCTCACACACACACACCTGACCTCACCTCACACACACACCTGACCTGACCTCACACACACACCTGACCTCACCTCACACACACACCTGACCTCACCTCACACACACACCTGACCTCACCTCACACACACACCTGACCTCACCTCACACACACACCTGACCTGACCTCACACACACACCTGACCTGACCTTACACACACACCTGACCTCACCTCACACACACACCTGACCTCACCTCACACACACACCTGACCTGACCTCACACACACACACCTGACCTGACCTCAAACACACACACCTGACCTCACCTCACACACACACCTGACCTCACCTCACACACACCTGACCTCACCACACACACACCTGACCTCGCCTCACACACACCTGACCTCACCACACACACACCTGACCTGACCTCACATCACACACCTGACCTCACATCACACACACCTGACCTCACCACACACACCTGACCTCACCACACACACACCTGACCTCACCACACACACACCTGACCTCACACACACACACCTGACCTCACCACACACACACCTGACCTCACACACACACACCTGACCTCACCTCACACACACACCTGACCTCACACACACACACCTGACCTGACCTCACACACACACCTGACCTGACCTCACACACACACCTGACCTGACCTCACACACACACCTGACCTCACCTCACACACACACCTGACCTCACACACACACACACACACCTGACCTGACCTCACACACACACACCTGACCTCACCTCACACACACACCTGACCTCACCTCACACACACACCTGACCTGACCTCACACACACACACACCTGACCTGACCTCACACACACACCTGACCTGACCTCACACACACACCTGACCTCACCTCACACACACACCTGACCTCACACACACACCTGACCTGACCTCACACACACACACCTGACCTCACCTCACACACACACCTGACCTCACCTCACACACACCTGACCTCACCACACACACACCTGACCTGACCTCACATCACACACCTGACCTCGCCTCACACACACCTGACCTCACCACACACACACCTGACCTCGCCTCACACACACCTGACCTCACCACACACACACCTGACCTGACCTCACATCACACACCTGACCTCACATCACACACACCTGACCTCACACACACACCTGACCTCACCACACACACACCTGACCTCACCACACACACACCTGACCTCACACACACACACCTGACCTCACCTCACACACACACCTGACCTCACACACACACATACCTGACCTGACCTCACACACACACCTGACCTCTCCTCACACACACACCTGACCTCACCTCACACACACACCTGACCTGACCTCACACACACACCTGACCTCACCTCACACACACACACCTGACCTGACCTCACACACACACCTGACCTGACCTCACACACACACCTGACCTCACCTCACACACACACCTGACCTGACCTCACCTCACACACACACCTGACCTCACACACACACACCTGACCTGACCTCACACACACACCTGACCTCACCTCACACACACACACCTGACCTCACCTCACACACACACCTGACCTGACCTCACACACACACACCTGACCTCACCTCACACACACACCTGACCTGACCTCTCACACACACCTGACCTCACCTCACACACACACCTGACCTCACCTCACACACACACCTGACCTCACCACACACACACACCTGACCTCACCTCACACACACACCTGACCTGACCTCTCACACACACCTGACCTCACCTCACACACACACACCTGACCTCACCTCACACACACACCTGACCTCACACACACACCTGACCTCACCTCACACACACACCTGACCTGACCTCTCACACACACCTGACCTCACCTCACACACACACCTGACCTGACCTCTCACACACACCTGACCTCACCTCACACACACACCTGACCTCACCTCACACACACACCTGACCTGACCTCTCACACACACCTGACCTCACCTCTCACACACACCTGACCTCACCTCACACACACACCTGACCTGACCTCTCACACACACCTGACCTCACCTCACACCTGAAAAAAGTTTTCCTATAACTAAAATCATTCTCAGTTTCTGCGGTGCCAACACACAAAAAAGCGTGTGCTTCTGCCAAAGGTTATAGGGACTATGAACGCGTTCCTCCAGTGCGAAAAGGAGTTTTTGTCTCCTAAAAGAAAGCGATTCTGAACTGAAACGAGTCGTCAGTATCTCCGCCTCACTCCTGCTGAACCTGCGCAGCTCTGTAACTCATGCCCCAGCTGTGGTCTTCCAGCTCAGGGTCAGGACAGCGGTTCTGTGCCGCTGGACCAACATCTAAGCATCTCCATTATTAATGTCATAATCCATCATACTGTGATGTAGGCAATAATAAGTATTATTTATGAAAGGAAAATAATCCATTTGGGCTGCAACAACTAATCTGTAATCGATTATAGTTGATAATGAAATAATCATCCGTCAGTTTTACAGAAGTAAAAAACACATTTCCACGGATCGAAGGCTTGTGGAAAACAGTGGCGGATCTCGACCGAAACATCAGAACGCTTCAAACACAGCAGAAGTGTTTACCGCGGATTTGCCTCAGAGCATAATTAATAATCATTCTGACTGAAATATGCATTATGCTACTACATAATGTATATTAATGCTATTGAATGGTCTTGTAGAATATTAAACCTAAATT